AATTGGACGTGTTCTTTTCTGCATAGTCCCACGTTACTCCACATTAATTACACCATCCTGCTTCTGTTCATCATTCTCATCAATCATGATTGCTCTTAAGAGAATGACTGTCTTAAAACTTGAAATAATCCTGTAGCTTTGCAGTTAACTCTGCTCAGATCTGGTGAATGAATTGTTCTCTGGCTCGGGAGCGCTGTGTGTTTCTTTCATGACTGAACCATGGACTTTATTGTAGATAAACTCCCTAAATATGCTGAGCACCCTGATGAATGCTGCTTCAGAACTAGCAGAGAGATGGATTTAGGATGTGAACTCTTTAGCAAATCCCACTAAGTGTCTTAGACCACAGCGTGTATTAGCATTGTTACTGTGATGCAAAGTTAATCATTGTAGATAATGTACTTGATCAGTGAATTAAAAAAAGAAAAAAAAGAGCAAAACCACAAAAAAGATCCACCCTAAGCTTTAGAAGCAGCTCAGGGCTGCTGAGCTGTGTGTGATGTTTCAGACACGGTGCATTGGGCATCTCCATGTACCTGGATGGTCGTTGTACCACCCTCCTGCCAAACTGCTGTGGGATCTGCCAGCAGTTCTGTGCAGATGGAGCAGGCGGAGCCCCTGTGCATCATTGCATCCCTTGTGCTCTCTTTGTATGTGGAGGATTTTAATAATAATAATAATAATAATAATAAAAAAAATAACAGCACTAAGAGTTTGATGTAACATCGTGTTGTAGACAGGATATATATTTACATTTTGCTCTAATGTGATTTTAGAACCTTGTGTGGCAGCCCCAAATCAGAGCTGCAGCTGCTGCCTGTGCCCCCCTGGGCTCCCATCTCCCCCAACCCGGGGATGGAGCAGCACTGGGCTGCAGTCCAGGCCCACAGTGCCGAGGCTGAGGCTGCAGAACCACATCAGCATCTGCTTCCCTGGCGTGGCTGGAAGCCTCAGACATGGTGAAGGTGTTCAGCACTGCAACCACAGCAGTGTGCTCACGGTAGATGGTTTCAGCTGTTGGTTTTGATGTTACGGCTTGCATTTATTTTCAAATCTCATATCTGTTGTTTATGCTTTGTCTTTTATGTATCAATCGTCTCTTAACTAAAACTGCTAAATTAATCAACAACGACGTGATTCCCCCTCCCTGTTTTTATAGGGACGTCGTTTTCTGTCCCACGTTGGTGCTGTCAGAGGTGGCTGCAGTGCGATGCAGTGGGACGTGATGCGATGCTGGGGATGTCTGGGCTGGATGTGCTGCAGCTTTATGGACAAGAGGAGCCAAACTTAACGCTCCCCAGCGGTGCATCCCTGCTCTCAGAACCCAGAAATCATCTTGCAGTGCAGCCCATGCACTCTGCAAATAGGTCTGGGGGTGTGAGAGCCAGGTGGGGGTCATGCAGGGCACAGAGCTGCAGTGGGCTTTGAGGACTCCGCATTCCTTATTTGCTCGTGAGGCTCGGGGGGAGCAGCCCAAGCTCCACATCAAATAGGTTTTGAAGGACAAATGCTCCAAATGCAATTGTGACAGCGGAGAAGAAGAGCACAGATGTGTGAGTGCTGTGAGCAGGCACAACCCAGAGCTGTGTGAAGAGTCTGTGCTGCTGTGGGAACCTCTCATGTGAGCACAATGCATTACAGCAGAGCGCTGCTTGCTTTTCTCATGGTATATTTTGATAAAGAAATCTGTACTTGATTGTTTTGCTTTGTTTTAAACTTGTGGTTGATATAAACACATTATGGCTTCTGTTCTCTCTCTTCTGTGATTGGAGCAAGAAAACCTCTCAATAAAACGTTGGGGTTTTTTTTTTTTCCTCCTCCCTTTCAAAGTTATTTTTATTGTTGCCTTTTCCGTATCAGTTGCATTACTCACTCTGACATTCAAGGGTTCAGCACACTGTCTCTATACAGACACAGCTTATCTGCACTGCTGCCTGGCAAGGAGAGATGCAAGAGCTTAAACCACACATCCACAGTGCTGAGACAGAGAAGTGCTGTCAAAGTGCTGCTTCTAGACACTGCTTTATCTGTACATTAATACCCCTGTTGCAAACCAGCTAGCTCTCACCAGTGCAAGCGAAGGCAATGAGCTCCTTACAGCAAACAGCATTGTCTGCAGGAATTATTTCCTAGAAAATGTTGTTGCTGTCACTGGTAGCAAGGAAAGCAGGCACACACCTGAAACCCCATTAATCAGCCCTGGCTCCAGCTCTCAGGTTATTCCAATCAGAGCAGTCAGCCATCCTTTGAGAAACAGCCAGCAGGGCTGAGCATAGCCTGCAGTTGGTCTCAGGTGGAGGGGAGGTTTGATAGTGGAGAAATCAGGGAGCTCCTGCCCTCCAGTGCCCTTGGCCAGGGACATCAGCAACAGCACGAGGTGCCATGAGAGCAAGTAAGAGCAGCTCCAACATATGAGTTATGCTATAATTGGTTCAAATACTGATTGCTACGAGTTCTATTTATGCAGAGTGCTCATTCTAAACCAGGATTTTTATGAGTTCTGCTGTGTAATAATCCAGGGTGAGATTTTTCACGTGCATGTATGTAACTGTAAAGTAGGGAGTGTGCTTAGATCCAGCAGAGTGCTGGGGGTGCAAAGAAATACCCAAAGTTAGGGGAGTTTTGCTGACCTGAATGCACTTTTATTTCAGGCTCGTGTCCAGCTCTGAGTCTGGCTTCACAATGCAGGGAGGCTGAGAAAGCTTGGGGGTGGTTGAGGATTGCCCAGCAGTGACTGCATTGTGTCTGTGTGCTGTGCCCCATGGAAAACTGCTTCTTGCTTGTGTGAGGGTGAAACAGCTGATCTGGCAGCATGAGGATGCTCAAGCCTTGCCAGCAGCCTGCCCTGGCCTTGTCTGAATCTTGCATAAAACAAAATATCATCCTCTTGTGATTCAGTTTATCCTCCCAGTAATGTTTATCTTATTTGCTCCAGCATTCTTTCTGTTGAGTATCGTCTGTTAATTGAGTTTCTGGTCTCCAGTTCATAGTTAAGCTCTAAATAAATACAGTTTGCTTTCCTGCTATACAAAGTCATCTTCCATCTTACAATTAATTTCTTGTCCTTGGCAATCTGTGTTCTTCTTTGACCCCTGCTGGGGAACACAGGGCTGGAAATTGTGAGCAATTAGGGATGGTTTCTCCTGGAGAAGAGCAGATACCAGCCTGGTGTGTCTGACAAGGAGCTCTATTAACGTTCTGCAGGATGGGGAGGTGATGCACCACAGCTGCTCAGGCAGTCTGGTGACATGTCTGCAAGGGAAATGCTGCCTGTGTTTATCTGCAGTGCTGTCTGGGCACGGTGTAACACCAAAGCCCTCCTTTGCTCTGGTGGTTTTCAGCTTTGCTGGGACACGTGCTGCAACTTCAGCACAGAACTGCCCCTCTTTGTGCTGCTGAGGGGCTGAAGTCCTACATGGAGTGGCAAGGAGACGTGTGGATGTCTCCACAGTGGGGAATGGTGCCTCAACTCTATTTATGCCTCAACTCTATTAAAGCAAAGGATGCCTTGCTGCACGTAGCCACACAAACTATAGACTGGGAGAGATGCACAGAGGAAAACAAGGGATTTGTAATGTACCACGATGAAGAACAGAACAGGAAGTGGGAAAGCAATACTTCCTTTCCTTTCAGACGCTTTTGTGGAAAAAACTGATCCATCAAGGATACAGGGATGCAAAACTCCCTGCTCTGAGTGTGCCTTGAGCCGCAGGGCATGCAGACCTGGGAAGCTCTGCTTCAATCTCAGTGCAGAGAAAGTCCTCTATCAGATTGAGGGAGGGAAAAATCCCTCAGAATTCACAGCAAGTGCTGTAAAAGCCTCTGTTTTGTGAGGGCTCAGACTCGTTTTATTGTCATTTCTTCTCTAGTAATCCCATCCGAGCCTCTGAGCATCCTACCTGTTGGCTGAGTTGCACCCCTCTGCTAGTCTGGAGGTGACAAAGTCACGTTTCAATGCCCTTTTTGGGAGCCTGGCTGGCTCCTGTGCTCTATGCATGGGGCCGTGGCTCTGCACTATGTGGCTTCCCTGGGCAGTGCTGTGCCAGGAGCCGTGGGTTGGCCCATCAGGTTGGCTGGCTGAGCTGCAGAAGCCTCCCAGTCTCTGGAAAATGAGAACTCTGTTCCAAGACCCTCTCAGTGAAGGCTGGAATCTCCTATGGGCTGGCTGCTGGCCACAAGCTGTCCTGGTAGCAATGTAAGGGCAATGGTGTGCCCAGCTCTGCAGTGCAGGGTGATGGTGCCTGCAGGGCCATCAGCTCTGCTACACACAGCTTCCAGGATCCAGGGAGCTGTGAGGGGCCAGCAAATGGTCTCTGCAGAAATGTGCACAGCCTGGAAATGCTGTGAGTAACGTTTTTTTTTTTCTATTGGAGATGTGTGCCAAGTCCTCACTCCAGCACAGGAGATGTGGGAAAGCAGGGCTGTGGCTGGATGAACCACACCTGGGTCACAGTGCTGCTGCTGCTCAGTGAGACCCCCACCAAACTCCTGAGTTATTAACGTGGATGAGAGATTGATTTGCTAGAAGGTATTTTTCTTTGCTGGGAGAGCAAGCACATGCATGGCTCTGACATGCAGTGCTCAGAACTTCATTAAAGTGCACCAATGATGGACTGCAATTCCTTTAGCCAATGCAATTTGCAACAGAGCAGCAGAGTAATTGCACCCAGCCTGGGCAATTTCTTCTGCTATTGCACAGTCAGGGTAAATCACTAATCTGGAGAGATTGCAGCTCAGAAGGCAAATGGGATCCTGGGCTCCATCAGCAGAGTGGTGGCCAGCAGGGACAGGGAGGCGATCGTCCCCCTCTGCTCTGCTCCGGTGAGGCCCCAGGACAGCGCTGTGTCCAGGGCTGGAGCCCCCAGGACAAGAAGGACAGGGAGCTGTTGGAGAGGGTCCAGAGGAGCTGCAGAGATGAGCAGGGGCTGCAGCACCTCCACCACGAAGACAGGCTGAGGGAGCTGGGCTCGTTCAACATGGAGAAATGAAGGCTGCGGGGTGACCTCAGTGCCTGAAGGGAGCCTGCAGACAGGAGGGGAATCGACTCTTGGAAAGGGGAGATGACAGCAGGACAAGGGGAAATGGTTTGAAGTTGAGGGAGGGGAGATGGAGGTTGGATGTCAGGGGAAGTTCTGTGCTGTGAGAGCAGTGAGGTGCTGGAACAGCTGCCCAGAGAGGCTGTGATGCCCCGTCCATCCCTGGAGGTGTTGGAGGCCAGGTTGGATGGGGCCCTGGGCAGCCTGGGCTGGTGTGAAATGTGGAGATTGGTGGCCCTGTGTGCGGCAGGAGGTTGGAGATTTGTGATCCTTGAGGTCTCTTCCAACCCTGGCCGTTCTGTGACTCTGTGAGAGGACAGAGCATGTTGGTGGCAGTTCCAGGTGTGGCCATATGTGAGGTGCTGGTGGCTGCGCTGCCCTCCTCACCTGCAGCGCCACTGCTGGGCACCCATGGGTGAGATCTCAGCACCCCCAGTGCCCAGCCTGGGTGTGAGGGAGCAACCAGGGGTGGCTGCTGAGGTGATGCATTGAATGTTCCATGCTAAATGGTCTAAAAAAAAAATACTGAGCTAAATGTTTATGAAAATCTCCCCCTGGATTAATGGTTGCCAGACAGCTGAGGGGTAATTACATGTGATACGACTTTAATTATTAAGCACGGAGCTGCCCAGCTGAATTACTGTAGCCCCTAACTGCCTACTTCAATGTTTACAATTTCTTCACCATTCCCTGTTCTTCCCTCTCACTCACCCTAAATGTTTATTTAATAATCCTGAAAGACCTTTTAAGCTTTCTGGGTTTAATGTTTGCTAAACACCCTGTCACTTTCACTTCTATTGACAATTCCCTGGTTCTGCTCAGCCCCAGAGCTTTGCAGTGGGATGGGGCTGATGGGGAAGGTGGGAGCAGGCAGCACGTCCCTGTTCTCAGTGCTTCCCTGCCCTGGGTGGGCACTGAATGGGGCACAGACATGGAGCTGGCACACGGTGCTGCCAGTTGTGTCATTTCTGCACTGCATTGCCTCCACCTCCAAGCTCTCTGCTGCGCTCACGCAGTATTAATTTCAGCAAATTCATTTTTCTTCACAAAAGCTTTTGGTTATTTGAGATTAGGGGCTGTTAGGGCTCATTGTTTCCCAAGCTATGCCTTGTTTTGCTGTGCTGCTCCGAATCTGGTCTGCAGGAACTTAATCTCCCCTCTCCTGCAGAGGTTCTGTTCTTAGAAAATCTGTTCACTGCTCTTGTGCAAATTGTTGATGGGAGATAGCAGTGGGCCTTCCTGCTTCTATTTAACGTGTCAGCAGAGAGAGACATCTGCTTGCAATTAAGGTACAGCCATGCTGAAGGATCGGGGTGGTAGATGTTAAACGATAATGGGAAGTCTTTATCGATTCATAATTCCTCGCGTCGTACAAAGGAATACATTTCATTTAAAATTCCTGGCCCAGGGAAAACCAGCAAAGCAGCAAGCAGTGCGGGCAGACTTGGGAACAGAGCAGAGGAATGGGAAGGATGGAAAATCCTGGCCTAATTTCTAAAATGCCGTGCGTTTCTGGGTGTTGCTGAAAGATCCAAGCTTGGCTAAGGCAGGGAGGAAGCGCATGGCAGGGTGTGCAGCTGGGGCCATTTCAGAGCTGGATCCCATTTCTGCCCTGTGTGTCCCCTGGGCTGCTTGGTGACACGGGCTGCCAGCTCCCCATGCTGAGGATGTTTGTCCCTTGTAGATGATGCACAGCCTGGTTTTATTTCAAGCTCCCCAATGTTGGTCACGTTACCGAAGTCTCTTCCTTACTGAAGCAAATTCAAAACGCCTCTTTTGTCCTTAAGGTCTCAGACACGAGGCATGGGGAAGTTCCTGTCTGTGCAGCTTGTGACCAACGTGCAGAGCAGCCCTGGGCTGGCAGGGTTGTGCTGTGGCATCGCTCCATATTGACTGCTTCCCCTGTATCTGCAGGGATCTGGGTTGGGGTGGGCGGCCCAGGAGCCCCCAAACCCCAGCTGGGGCAGTGCTGTGTCTGTAGGATGAGGATGATGCATTCCCAGCAGCACTACAGCTTTCCAAATCTCCACGTAGCTGAAAACCAGCTTGTAAAACCAAAGGCAAAAGCTGGATTTCACTGTTATCTTAGTGGAAACTTGGGCTTGGAAGGAGGAATGCAGAGGAATCTTCTGCACAGGGTCGAGGCACCGCGAGACAGCGATGCAGGGATCCGGGAAATCTCGCCTTATCTGCAGTCCGTTCATCAGGTTTCACACACGCTGATGTGCCGTTAAACTGCTGGCCCAGATGCGCGGAGCGATGGCAACTCAAAGCCTTTTTCACGAGCTATTTGGAAGATCATTAACGAGCAATTAGTTTGCTAAGTGTTTGGCCTCGGGGCTGCTTTATTTCCCCTTCCCCTCCAAAGGCGGTAGCAGCTTTGCTAGGCTCGAGGTGCGATTCTTCCCATCCCCGCTGCTCGGCCCCTGGAGCTGCTGGGAGCTCCGTTGGGGCTCTGCATGATGCTCAGACGGGGCTGCGCGGCCCCCCCCCCCCCCCCCTCCGGGGCTGGCGGTCTCTCCTTGGTTGGTAGCATTGCATTATGCAAGATTGAGTTTGATTTGTTCCCCCTTCCTCTGAGTTTTTTTTTTTTAGTAGCTGACAGTTGCTACCAACGTGAGGCACTAATTTATTTATTTATTTATTTTATTTGGGACGCACGAGTTCAGGCTCTTTAATCATTTCCAAATGCCTTCCTCTAAAGGCTATATTGTTTCAGCGTTCAGCCACTAATTTTTTGAAATCTCTGAAATAAGACTCTGCTCTTGAACATGTGCCGGAGAGTTGTTCCTTTGCACTGTATTTTAAAAATATACATGTGGTTTAATTCAACGCAAGGACCGGAGGGGACATTTTTCCACCATTTCCCCCCCTCCTCTTTTTCTTTACAACGGTGTCTGCCAAACCACCGGGCTCTGAGCCAGCAGCAGCCCCTTGGATGAGCCCAAATGCATCTGGAGGTTAAAAAGTGTTTGCAGTGCAGCCCGGAGTCGTTGCATCGCAATGCAGGACCTGGGGAGTGTCTGCTGTCACCTGCTGGCTGAGGACAATGCCACCAGTGCTGGGATGCCGGCAGCAAAGAAGGGAAATTTAATGTGCTTGCACCGAAGGGCTTTTGTTCTCTTTGCTCTTTCGGTGTTGTTACGCGGGGCTGAAGCCAACACCGGGCCAGTCCTTGTTCAGAAGCTTCGCGGTGCAGATGCTGGCAGCAGTGCTGCGAGGTAGGCAAGAAATGGCAGCGCCTTTCTGAGAGCAGATGTTGAAAATCCCCGACGTGTTGAAGCAGGGATATTAGGATTCAAAAAAAGTGCAGTGAGACCAGAAGAAAAGAGCAGGGGAAAGGGAAAACTGCTGCTGAGCACCCGGTGGAGACAGAAGGTGCAAGAGGTGAGCATGAAGATGATGCTCTGTGCTGGTGGGGCTGCAGCTGTTCTTCCTATGCAGGCAATGTTGCTGAGGCTGTGCAGTGCTGCCCACCTCGTTCCCTGCCCACAATCACTGCTGATGCAGTAAATACAGCGAGGAGATTTCCCAGCCGCAGCACTTGACAGCCTCCGAGGGACTCCCATAGGAATCTGCTATTTGTGTTGGCAGTCATAAATCCCCCAGGACTCAGATGACAGCCAGAGGCATTATGAGTCTGGGCTGTCTTGTGTCTAATATCTGCACTACGTTGATTTGTGATTCGCTGGCACAATTATTTCTGTTCAGCATCACCGACCTGTTTACAAAAATAAAGCAAAATAAATATTTCATGCTACTTTAAAGAAAAAAAGAAAAAAGAGAGGTGCAGAAGGACAGCATACGTGTTGCAGCCAGCTGGCATCCAGCAGGGCCCAGAAGCAACAAATCTGATCGGTTCACATTGATCTTTTTACTGGTAATTTCACAGGAGGTTTTCTACACTAATTAATGACCAGAGAGGCTGTGATGCCCCGTCCATCCCTGGAGGTGTTCAAAGCCAGGTTGGATGAGGCCCTGGGCAGCCTAGTGTGAAATGTGGAGGTTGGTGGCCCTGTGTGCGGCAGGGGGTTGGAGATCCGTAATCCTTGAGCTCCCTTCCAACCCTGGCCGTTCTGTGATGATTCCCCTCTCTCGGCTTCTGAGCAAAACTCGTGTAACGTCGGTTTTCTCTACGATTCGATCCCGCAAAGCTCAGGGGGGATTCGGGGCTGCGGGAGGGAATGCGGCTGAGCCCCGCACGCGGGCTGCGGCTGCCACCTGGCGGCTTTGGTGCTGCCCGCATCCCCACCGCTCCCGCTCCGATCCCGGCTATAGGGTGGTGGTTAATGGAGCAAAGTCCAGCTGGTGACCCGTTACGAGTGGTGGACCCCAGGGATCAGAGCCCATCTTGTTTAATATCTTTATTGATGACCTAGATGAAGGCATTGAGTGCACCCTCAGTTTGCAGGTGACACCAAGTTTGGAGGTGGTGTCGGTCTGTCTGAGGGTAGGGAGGCCCTCCAGAAGGATCCAGATAAGCTGGATCGCTGGGCTGAGGTGAAGGGGATGAGGTTCAACAAGGCCAAGTGCTGGGTCCTGCGTTTGGCCACAACAACCCCATGCAGCGCTGCAGGAGGCTGGATGACTGTGAAGAGGAAAGAGACCTGGGGGTGCTGGTTGATGCTGAACACAAGCCAGCAGTGTGCCCAGGTGGCCAAGGGAGCCAACGGCATCCTGGCCTGCATTAGAAATAGTGCGGCCAGCAGGAGCAGGGAGGTGAGCATCCCTCTGTACTCAGCACTGGTGAGGCTGCACCTCCAGTGCTGTGTTCAGTTTTGGGCCCCTCACTACAAAAAAGGCATTGAGGCCCTGGAACGTGTCCAGAGAAGTACAACGAAACTGGTGAGGGATCTGCAGCACAAGTCATGAGGAGCGGCTGAGGGAGCTGGGGTTGTTCAGTCTGGAGAAGAGGAGGCTCAGGGGAGACCTCACTGCACTCCACAGCTTCCTGAAGGGAGGCTGTGATGAAGAGGAGTTTGGCCTCTTTTCCCAAGCAACAACCAGGACCCGAGGAAGCGGCCGCAAGTTGTAGCAGAGGAGGTTTAGGTTGGACATAAGGAAGAACTTTTTCTCCCAGGCACTGCAATGGCTGCCCAGGGAGGTGGTGGAGTCGCCGTCCCTGGCAGCGTTCAAGAGGCGTCTGGATGAGGAGCTGCGAGATCTGG